TGTTCAGCCAAAAAGTAAAGGTCATTTATCAAGAAGATCCTTAAAATTCCCTACCACTCCCAGGATTTAATTGGCAGAAAATAGGCTTCCCCAACTGACCAAGAGGACACCTTTCAAAATTATACATTATTAAGAGTTCAGACAGACCAAGAGCTTTCAAACACAGAACCAGTGCTTCAGGATATGGAGCATTATGGTATCGCTATTTGCTTCTATGCAAAAGTTGTGGGAATGTATATGATCTTAGGGAAAGAATAAACGATATACTTTTAAACTTAAGAGTTATTAAGAAAGGAAAAGGGTGGTCCAAGAGGTGGGAAAGCCAACAGTATAAAAATCAGAAAATCTTGAGAAGAATTTCTAAAAGGAGTATGTTATCAATATCAAATGCTACCAAAAAAATACTAAAGACAATCATTTCATTTCTACTTCACAAATTAGCTGTCACATACTCCTACTTCCAAAATCTTAAAGATTCAATAACACAAATATCAGGTGTGATCAAACTAATTTGCCAGAATTTTTAAAGAGCCAATCACACTGAAATATATCAAGGATAAATAACAGCACCAAAATGCAGAGAACTCAGTTAAAGGTATCCTATATTCATTACTCTCATAAAATATCATTCTTCTCTTTGCCAGGATAAATCGAAAGGTCACTGTGCAAGCAAGGAAAGCTTTTATTTATTGATAAAAGGCAAAGAAAGCTATTAAAAGACTAGGCTACTTAGAGTCATTTAGTCATACTGCACATACTCCCTTTTAATATTCCCTCAGTAAAAGTAGGCCTGGAGATACAGAACATAAAAATAGTAAACCACACAATTGAAACTCAATGAGATGTGATATGTATCACTAGATATAAAGGATTAAAAGCTGGATGAGAGTTAAGACACTCGTAAGAGGAAAGACAGACACTAACATTTGAGAATACATACAATTAAATACACACGTTTATTTATTTATTCTTAAAAAAAAAATTTTAACTTCCATGTGCCCTGATTTCTATCCCAGAAACTAGTAAAGTAAACCTATTAATAAAGGTTTCCTGGACTAGTGGCTTTCCAACACACTCTTTTTAGATAATTTCAAAAACACCTATCTCCAAGCATATCTGAATATATATACCAAGCATATCTGAATATATATATATAACCTGCCTGAAAGTAATAGGCCACATTTTCCATTCTTCATACAAAACATATCCTTTGATATTTTTAAGTACTTTTCAGTTTATATCGAGTGGAACTGGAAAAAAGGTTTAAGCTAGTTTTAGAGGTGAAACAGCCCTAAAAAAAAAGGAGGTTGAATGTGACAGCATGTGCAATAAGGGCAGTGAAAACAAAATCTAAAGAATCTGTTCTGAGAAACACAATTATAAGTATAAAATACCTAAATTAGACTGAATGTGTAACCATAAAAGACAATTTTTAAGATGAGAGAGAGTACTTTCTTTAAAATCTGGCTTTTAAAGCTTAAATAATGTCTTTAAAATGAGACAGAGAAAAAAATAAAAATAAAAAAATAAAACGAGATAGAGTACTTTTTTTAAATGTCTGGCTTTTAAAGTTCAAAACTGAAAGGAACTCAATTTAGAAACGAGGAAACTGATATCCAAGAAAACAAAGGAACTTGCTTGGTAATTAACACACCTAGATGTGACATGAAACATGCTCCAATGAGTCTATCTTTAAAATATGATCTTGATAACTTCTAATGAAAAGACTAAAAATCTTAACCATGTTTCAAATTAACAACTGCAATCAAAGCCAAACTGATTTAGAATTCACAAGACCACATTAAAAAGTTTACATTGCTTAGAAAACAAATGTCCCTCACAAAGACAATTAATAGGATTATAAAAGAAATATTTACTGAACATCTACTATGTGGCAGCAACTATTTTAGTCATCTGGGATATACCAGTATAGAAAATACTTTTAAACATACTCAAGTTATGACAATTACACGTACTTAACTGACAGGGAAATTATAAATCATTCTCCTTCCACTGAACTAGTTCTGCAGCTCCTCAACATCTCTAAGATTAGAACAGTCACTGTGGATCAGATTCAGGAGCTCTACCATTAGGAGCAGACACATAAGAATCACCTCTCACCATAAAGCAAGGATACTGCTTTCTGTAACTACGATTGTTCACTTCTGGAACCATTTCCATACACATGTTTTTCCCGTTCCTTATTCAAAATTCTACACTGCCAGTCACTCAAAGAAGAAGAAAAAAAATCTCAGGCTAATAGAAGCCAAATTTAGAGAGGGAAATAAAAATCTTCCTTCAGTCTAGGCTAAATGAACTGACTGCACAAAGAACTCCATACATCCGAAAGCACACAGATGTCTGCACCAGTTCCCAGGGCTTAAACAATGCCAGTCATTCAAGAGCTTTCCTTTTACATAAGCTGATGTGAGAGCGCTCAGTCAGCTCTTCTGAACCTCATAACCCAGGATCCCGGAACTCTGATACAGCCACCATTTTCCTCAGCTCTGTTTCATGTACTTTCTCTGGTAAGCAAACTTCATTTTCCCCTAAAAAATAAATCTGGAAATCATCTCTCCTGTTTTCTATAACTGATATGAGTGATATAATTCAATCCAAAATTACTATTCCATTAAAACTAAAAGTGTTAACACAAATCTAAGATCAATACTGAAAAAAACTGTTCGATAAAATATATTTTTAAATGCAGAAGTTTAAAATATAATTTTAAACATGCTTCATCATGCTAAGTATGAAATGACACCATCTGGCTGCATTTTATCTGCTTCCAGTTGCACAATGTAAAAAACAGCCATACAACACGAAGTAACTTTCCAAAAATTAAAAGAAACTTTCGGAGAACTGCTAAAGAGTTCAAAAAGTGAATTTACACATGCACACTCACACACATGCAACACTAACTACAGATATCATAAATAATGAAAGGTATCTGAGTGTTTGACCAAAACCCCATGCAGGCCTCAGGAAAAATATTCTTCAATGAATGTCCCTCAGAAGCTTAAATAACAGTACTGTCACCTTCAAAGTACATTATTATTGATTCTTCCAACAATATCCTTTACTTGCTAAGTCTCGCAAATTCGAGATTCAAACATTAGTAAATACTTAAGCCACATAAACGCTAATGTACTTTTTCATCACATGGGAAACTTACTTCCTAAGACACTTATCAGACCTGCCAACAAGAAGTAAAGCTCAAGTTTTAAGGGACAAAATGAGAATGACTCATTTAGTTATTAAATTATTAGATCCTGAATAGTCAAGAGTTGCCTGTAAATTCACCTCCCGTAACTATGTACTATTAAGAGATTTGTGGCTCTTCTAATTTAACACTCTTTCCCTCTCCACATACACACTACATAATGCAAATAAACATGCTCTGAAGAAGGAAAAGTTCTCTCCTAAGTTTTCTCTCCTTAAATAGTAAATCCTTAAAGATATTCCCCATCTCTCCCCAAGAACACAAAAAAGCAGAGCTCTGAACATACTAACCATTTAATAGATATTTGTGAAAATTTCCATCATCCTTAGAGTTATAAGACTGAATTTGTCAAAAAGGAGAGGGGGAGAACTATTTACCTTTTCATCAAAGTATTACTTCCTAATAAGCACGGAAGGCAACAAAACCCTATGTGTTCTACAAAGCAGTAACCTCAGAGACATTTCAACACTCCCTGAGACTTAACAAACTTCGCTGGCAAAACAGACTGCATTTATCAAAAACACCGTGCAAGTTCTCAAGAACCAGATTCTTCAATCAGGACAGTTTACCATACAGTCAACATCTATGACCTACTCCTTGGAACACACAACCCTGTTTCCTACCACTAGGGTCATTATGATATTTTCTGATGCTTTATTAAAAGAACATCTGACTTTAGCAAACACCTCTTAGTGCTTCTCTAAAAATACATTTTTATATATTATATAAAGTATATATGTATGCTTTCTAGAACTTCTCACTCTAAAATTTCACTCACTATTGCCCATGTTATCTTTTATAGTCAGACAAAGCTTTTCATTTTCCTGTTATACGGCATTGTCTTAAGACTTTGTCACCAAAAGGATCTGATATCAAGACAAAAGAACATACATAAACTTTTCTTTCATTTTTTCCCAAATTTTAATTACATAATATTAATCCACTCCCTCCTATATATGAGTTTTAAAGCATTCCAGTATACTTCAAAGTCAAAGAAGTACTAAAAGTTATTCACAGGTACTTATCTTTAGATTTTAACCAATTAATAATAGTTCATTTCAGGTTCACGTTTTATTATCTACACCTGGCTATGACAGACTCTGGCATGACAATGTGTTCAACAGAGACACAGCAAGGAATCATATAGGCAGGACTGAAACATGGTGACAGAGAAGCACCTGGGGACCAGTTCACATTCTACACAGTAAGATTTGCCCAGTTTCAAGTTTCTCTTATTAGAAAATAAACTTTATGATAAATACATGTTTAGTGAACTAGATATGAGTTAACAACTTAATTTTTTTCATTCAACACTGACGTACTAAAAAAATCAGCTTAATAAAAAAAACACTAGTATTACAAAATAATGGTGTATATAATAAAAGGTATAAGGTTCAGAAGATTTGCAACTAATAAAAATAAATGAAAAAAAGAAGATTTGCGCTATCACATACCACTCTTGTTATCATTCCTTCTTCTCTGCCTTCTAATTATTCTCTCATAATTATAAAATATGCAGAAGATAAAACAAGAACTATAAACATGGCTATTCCCTAAGTGATACTAGAAACACAAAACTATTTATAGACACACCTTACTTTAAGAACATGACCTAACTTAACTTCCCACATTCAAGTCTACTTGACAAAGAAGTCCAAAGAACCTAAAAGTGGGGTCCAGTGTTTATTTTCTCTTGGAAGTGAGGGGTGTCTATGCTAATGGAAAGAAAACAGCCAGGAGGAGATACAATAACCTTTGTACATTATGCAAAACTTACCCACTTGAAGGATCTAAGGCAATAGCTCTAGGTTGATCCAACTCTTGCCAAAATAAAACTTTTCGTAAAGATCCATCTAAATTAGAAACTTCAATACGATTAGTTTCAGAATCTGTCCAGTACAATTTTTCTCCAAGCCAATCACATGCCAGCCCATCAGGGGACAATAATCCAGAAACAACAACATTCTGTACACTCTCAGTTTTGTTGAACTCTATTCGTTTAATGGCTTCTTCGCTGACATCACTCCAGTATATCAAGCCATGACTAAACACAAAGTCCAACGCAGCTGCATCCTCCAAGCCTCCAACTACAATCGTAGCATTCTCTTTGCCATTTGCAGCATCAACCAATCGCAAGTCCCGTCTGTTTGCATAAAGCAACAAAGGGGCCGCTAGAACGAAAAGAGAAAAGTACGTAAGTCAAAAGGAACACAGTGCATCGATCTCCATAGACTGAGTTTCAAATCAACAATGGTGAACAAATACTATAAAAGAGTAAATAAACGTATAGGGAACTGTCGCAATCTTTTCACAAACAAAGCAGTATTTCTGCAGCATTTTAAATACAAAAGACTTGCAAGAGGGGGAAATCAACTCCACCAGGACAGTCTTTTCCTATTAAAATAGTCTGTCAGATAAAATAAAAAAGTTTGATCATTTCAAGAATCTGACAAGGGAAAAAAAAAAGAATTTGACAGGGATATAGAGCCAGTGGACCACTCATACTTTACTGAGGGTGGGCCTGTAAAATGGTGCAGCATTTTTGGAAAGCAGCTTGGCAGTTTCTTAAGAGTGAATAAACAATCTACTGTATGATCCAGCCATTCCATGTCTAGATATTTACATCAGAGAAATAAAAGTATAATGTCAATACAAAGACCTATGTATAATGTTCATAGCAGCTTATTTGTAATAACCCAAGCTGGAACCAACCCAAATGTCATCAACAGACTAATGGATGAATAAATTGTGATATATCCACACGATAAAAAGTAATGAACTACTGGGACTTCCCAGGCAGTTCAGTAATTAAGACTCTGAGCCTCCACTGAAGGGAGGCTGGCTTCAATCCCTAGTGGACAAACTACTGATAAAACTCCACATGCCGCACCACAAGCCCCCTCTCCTCCCAAAAAAATGAACTATCTGTTCGTGTAACTTGAGTGAATCTCAAAATAGTTATGCAGAATGAAAGTCAGACAGAAAAAAGTATATACTGCATACTCTGTTTATACAAAATTTTAGAAAATTAAGATTAATCTATTATGACAAAAAGCAGTTCAGTGGTTAGCTGGAGGTGGGGAGAGAGTGGAAAAGAAAAGGAAGGAGGAATGATAAAGGGGCATGAGGAAACCTTTGTAGGTGATGACTATATTGTAGTGACTGATGATGGTTCCAGAAGTGTATACGTATGTCAAAACTCATTAAACTTTACTTATGTGTAATTTATTGTATTATCAAGTATACCTTAATAAAACTGTTCAAACAGTCTAGCAGACATAGTTCTTAAAACAACTATTTTTTATTGCTTTATATTATTATTAGAATGATCTTCGAATAAGACTTAATACTAAAATTATACATAAAGCCTATCCTAGAAAAATTAAAGTGTTCAAAAAGAGTAAAGAAAAAAATGATGTTTAAGCCAGTTTATGGGCTGTGCTGGCCAAACAGACTTATGAGGTCCACTATTTTCATCAGCAAGCACAACATGAACTTTCCTTCTAAGTAAGTCTAAATCCAACTTTCTTAGTTAAAAACAAATTGGCGGATAGCTTTTTCAAAAAGTGACAGCCCTTTCTGTTTGTGTACCTACAGCTGCTATTGGCAAATTAGTAAATTTCCATCACAGATTCACTTTTGGCTCATTTCAGCCCTTAATGTGTGTTAATTGCTTAGTCGTGTCCGACTCTCTGCAACCCCATAGACTGCAGCCCACCAGGCCCCTCCGTCTATGGGATTCCCCAAGCAAGAACACTGGAGTGGGTTGCCATTTCCTCCTCCAAAAGGAACTATAGTAAAGAAAGAAAGTGAAGTCACTCAGTTGTGTCCGACTCTTTGCAACCCCATGGACTGTAGTCTACCAGGCCCCTCCATCCACGGAATTTTACAGGCAAGAGTACTGAAGTGGGTTGCCAGTTCCTTCTCCACTTCAGCCCTTAATATATCACACTGATTTATCAGTCGGCATTGTGTTCACTGCACTATCTAAAACTGAGTTCCTCATACTATGCGTCCACTGTAAAAATCAGGAAAAAGGTCATATTAGTTAAGGATAAAATGCTAAGTGCTGCATAAGGCTAAGAAATAGCCCCGAAACATTTACAATTTAAAATGAAAGGGTGGTAATAATCCGATACCTATTGGGCACCTTTATGGTACTTTCCTTGGAAAACTATACAAAACCTGCATATGGCATTAAGTGGCAGCTAAATGTCTTTTATGACTTTCAAGTCAAACGTTATCATTTCTACTAAACATCTGGTCTACAAAATCCAAAGATCCTTTCTGATCATTTAAGTCCTCGCAAACCTTAAGAGTAACCCAAAAAAAAGGAGGTGAGGGGAGGAGTGGACAAGTCAATTTAAGTTAGCAACATTGATTACAACTGAGGACTTCTAAAGGACTATGCACAAACCTATGTACACTATTAAAAAGAAATCCCAGAGTTCATCCTGTCCAAACATCCTTCTGATACTTGAATACTTTCCACAGTATTGTCACCAATATTTATTTATCATGGGACATCTAAAAGGTGTAATTTGATTTCTAATACTGTTTTAATCTACTAAAGAAATACGTTGAATCCCCACACACTTTCCCTGAGTTGTAGCATATATGCCATGCATGCAGTATTTTCATTCCAAGAAACTTACTTTCGGACTTCCTAACTCAAATAATCACCACCGTATCTCTTTAGTGAACCCTCAAAAGAACTTAGAAATCCTTATTTTCCTTTTTAACTTCCTACCAATCTTTCTCTAGTGGCATTCTAACCTTTTTCTGCTTTCCTGAAGAAAAACTCCATGCTCTGAATCCTTCACCCCACATCATCTCACAAAGTAATCTCAGTGAAGCAGGAAGTGAAGGAAATATTATACATCCCAACACCTAAAACCTCTCAAAAATCTCTTTATATCCCATCCATCCTCCTCAACGTTGTCGTCAGTCTCAAACGACAAGCTTCCCTTCCTCCTTTCTCAGTCTATACCTCTATTTGAAACTAAAAGGCAGGTTAAGCATCATCAGAAGAATTAACTCTGTATTATAAGGAGAACATTCTACATAGGTGGGAATATGGTCAACATTTTTTTTCCAACTGGAAATAGACCTTTTACAAAGCTCAATCATCTCAACCTCTCATCTACCCTCTCGTTTGAATGGTATATATATATTGGTCATTCTGTGAAATCTTATTTCTTTTGTATATAAGTTACATTATCATTTATATTCAATAAAATGCACATATACATATTTAAAGTGTACAAGTCCATAAACTTTAATAAATGTACGCAACTGTGACAACCACTCCAATCAGGACGCAGACTATTTCTATCACTCCCTGAGTCCTCTGTTCCTCTGCCGTACATCCGGTTACTCTGGGCTCCAGCAACCCCGATCTGCTTTCTGTTGCTACCGATTAGCTTTGCCTGTTATCTAGATTTCTGGGGAATCGTATAGTGTGTCCTCTTCTGTTGGCATATTTTTGAGATTCATCCATTTTGTTGTATGTATCAACATTATTGTTGAGCAGAGTTCCATTGTATGTATATACTAAAATTTGTTTATCCATTTTCCAGTGTGTAGACATTCAGACTGTTTACAGGTTTTAGCTATTATTAGTGAAGGTGCTGTAACAATTCATGTACAAATTTTTGTGGGTCATACACTCCATTTCTCTTGAATAAACAACTAGGAGTGGGACTGCTGGGTCACATAGGAAGTTTGTATGTTGGTCAACATTTTTGAATGCTGCAAAAAAGTCAAGAATTAAGGACAGATAAGGCAAGTTGCATCTGGTTATGAAAACTTGGAGAAAGCAGTTTCAGTTGAGTGATAGGTGGGAAGTTGAACTAAAACAGTCAATAGCTGACAGATGGTTAAATGAAGTGTAGTACATCAATATTGTAAGATTTTGTGGTTAACTATTCTTTTGGTTATAGAACGGTTAGCTTTATTAAAAACAAAATTTTTTGATAGCAGGGACCTGGCAGGAACCACTGCAAATATAAGAAATAGGATGGTGAGATGGCCAACAAGAAGTATGAGTAGAACTGAAACTCAGGCTGGAGATGACTTGAAAATTACTGAACTAGAGCTGCTTATGATCAGGTAAACTCAGATAATCTTCTCTTCTATGCTTCCTTTACTTAGAGAACAAAGTATGGACAAGAAAATTATACAAGTTGGCCATCTCTCCCTGCCATAAAATTAAATTCATCACCTTTCTCCCACAGGAAACCCTCAAGAGTCAATGGTACCACAATTTTCCTAATTCCTCTACTGTGTCATGGAGCCAGCCTTGACACCTTCCTTTCCCCCTTCTCTCCACCCTCCCCCACCCCGTCTGCCAATTACAATCTTGTTGATTCTTCTTTAGTAGGTCCTTATCTCTGCCTCTTGTTTTGCACTTTTTAGACCACTACCCTACTCTAGCCCTTCATTACCCCATGCTAAACTACCTCAATAGTAAAAGATCTCAACACTCTCTCCCTTCCCTTTTCTACTTCATGTGTGTGTGTGTGTGTTAGTTGCTCAATCATGTCTGACTCTGTGACCCCATGGACTGGGTCCTGAGGGGTCATGCCAGGATCCTCTGTCCATAGCATTCTCCAGGCAGGAATACTAGAGAGGGTTGCCATTCCCTTCTGCAGGGGATCTTCCCAACCCAGGGACTGAACCTGAGTCTCCTGCATTGAAGGCAGATTCTTTACCACCTGAGTCACCAGGAAGCCTACTTCTAATACTTGTTATTTTATCTAATTCAAAAAGGTTTCTGATTTCCTTTGCCTAAAATTTAAAAGCCTCAATATCTCTGGGCTCCACTAGGTGACTTCTACCTGTGACTCTACCTTACCCTGCATAGTCTCTGAATGGTACACACTAGTTTTTAACGCATCAACTGTGAGCACATCATACCTCATCACCACAGTGTACTCACATTCCTGCTCACTTCATACCTCTCCCACCTCACAAAGCAAGCAAGTCCTGATTCAAACCTTAATCTATTCCAAGGATCTTTCCAATTGACTCCCTTTCCTTCGTTGTACGCTTACAGTCTTTACTACTTATTTGATAACGAAAGTTTTAAAGTTTATTTCCTGCTTCAACTAGGATCTCTGCCACTTGGGAAGAAGAGCCATATCTTTTAACTAATTTGGGGAATGCCTAC